GCGCCGTGAAGAGCAGACCGCTGAAGAGGAGGCGGGCTCGTCATCCTCGCCCGCTCGACGACGAGGGAGTCGACCACCACGTCCGACATTGCGACGCCCAGCGACGCGACCGTCGACGCCGCCACCGCCTGCTCTACACGCGATGGGTCTAAGCCTCGACTCCCTCCCTTCGTCGATTCCTCGTCGCCGCCGCCGCCTGCGCCGGCGTCGCGACGACCGTGGCGAGGGAGGCCCATGAGGCGGAGCCGAGCAGGCCCGCGAGGATGAGGTACGGCTTCCGGCGGTACCCGAACACGGGCAGCCCGTCGGTCAGGAAGCCGTACACGGGCTTGATCACCCACGGCAGCGAGACGACGCCCATCAGAGCCGCCTGCTCGCCGGGAGAGAGGCCGAGCTGGTCCTTGAGAAAGTAGGTGCGCGCCAACGCAGCGAGGCCGAGCGCTCCCTGAACAGCGCAAACGCTCGAGGTGTCGTCGCGGTATCATCTCAGGCTGCCTCAGAAGTGTCTCGGAAGTGTCAGGTGTCACTCCTGCACAAAGTAGACCGTCATCACCGCGTAGGTGCTCGGCCCGCCCGCCACGCCCTGCATCACATTCTGCGCGAACCAGCCACCGTGGCCAATCCTCGCCTCACCCTCCGTCTCCTCAATCCGCGTCAGCGGGTCGCGTGGCAGGCAGCAGAGCAGCTTCCGGCTGCGTGGCTGGATGTGCGGACGAAGCGCGCGGCTCGAGAGGTGGAGAGCCGGCAGAGAGCGGGCGGTGATGCTGGTCGCCTCTGTGCTGAGGAGGAGCAGGAGGCCCAAGAACTGGTGCTTGCGAACTCGCAAAACCGCCATGCGCGGCGGCGACCCGCGAAACAAAATGAAGCGCTGGGCTTCTCAGCTCCGCGGCCCTGGATGTGAGGTTGATGACTGCACTCCAAGTGCTCCAAGAATGCGCTGAAAGGCCCGCTGGGTTGCACTTGTTAGCTCCCCGGCCTGGATGTGCGGCTACTGACTGCACTCCAAGTGCTCCCTCCGGGCGGGGCCCCTCTGCGCCGGGGAGGCGTTGTTCGAGGCTAGGACGCAAGCGTCCGTCGCCCTTTTCAAACTCGGGGCCCACTCCGCTGCGCGCTGCGCGCTCCGACCCGCATTTGGAGGGCCTAAGAGTTTAAGGTGTTGCTGCGCAAAAGGTCCACAGGGCGCAGCTCATGCTAAGAGTTCGGCATGATCAGTGGAAAATGGAGAGGGGTGGTGCTATGGGATAGCAGAGCAGACACTTATGTGGCCTGGCCCAGATCACATGGTTTCAACTTTCGAAGTTTACGGAGATGTCTTGGCACACCAGCTGAAGGCTTGCACGGCCCAGATCACATATTTCGCCACGGTATTCGGATTTTGCTGTTTGTTCGTGTGGGGTATTCCAGATTTGTCAATGGTACCGCCTAGGGAAGGGTGTACCGCGTCTGCGACTCGGGGGCGCCTTGCGGGCACAGAAGCCCTTAGCCCCCTTACATCTTGCGCGGTTAAAATCCTGCTCGCACTGGCACGGGACTGGCGCGCACACTGGCACTAACCTGTGAAGAGACCCAGGGGAGGAGCAGTCCGCAAGACCCGAGCCCCGCGTGCCGCGAGGTTCACACAACCAAGAAAAGAAACAACGCCGGGGCGAATGGAGAAAGCGTGTATTCATTCGAGCACAGGGAGACATGCGAGCCCTCGCCTGCGCGCGCGGGCACATCCGTGCGGGCGAGCGAGAAGAGACTAGCGACGGACAGTCGTAACCCACCCAACTGGCACTCAACCCGAGGGCAGACCACCGGGCACGCCTCCGTCGTGATAGTACAGGTTATCAAAGAGCTTTCTCGCTCTTTCGAGCAGCGAGGGAGGCCGCTCCGGCTCGGGCGGAGGCCGCGACGAAGCGCCTTGACTGCACTCGACGCAGCCGCTCGTCACGCTGTCCCGCCTTGACGGCCCTCCCCTGTCACCTTCCGTGTTTAAGAAGTGGGCGCTCCGCTCAGACGGGTCGGCGCGACGATCCCTGCCGCGGGGCTGCTGCGGCGCACCCTGGGAGTGGTGAGTCTCGCCGTTACGGCTGCCGCCTCCCGCCCCCGCCCTGAATGCTGCCGGCCCTGCTGAGGATGCGGCGCGGCTCATGCCTTGGGAGACTCCCCTCGCGCCTTTGGCCGGCAGCCTGGCCGCCCCACGTGCGACGCCACGGGCCGCCGCGCGCGCCTGCGTGAGGCGTGGAGAAGAGGGTGGGCGCGGTGGCGGTGGCGGGCGCAGTTGCTCCTCCTGTGCGGGCGCGCGCCTTTGGGACGACACAAGCGAGCGAGGCCTCGAAGCTGTCGGGGCGAGGGTCGAAGGCAGGATTCCAGCCAGGCCTGCCTCGCGTGCGGTCAGGCGGGAGGCGGAGCTTGGTCTCGAGGCTGGAGTAGTCGTAGCAGATGTAGAGCAGGGCAAGGGCGATGATGACGACTGCACCAGAGGGGGCGGCGCGACTCTCAACAGGCTGGCTCTCAAGAGGCAGGCGTGGGGAGATGCTAGCATGTCGAGGAGCGAGGGGTCGAGGGGCCATGGGCAAGCGCACTCGAGGGGATTGGGAGGCGCGGATGGCCCTCAAAGAGGACGTAGTGATAGACGGTGGTGGAGACGAGCATGGCGACGAGGCTGCCGTAGAAGTAAAGATGGAGCGTCTTGTACTCCCCTGAGCTCCGCGAGCAGGGGAGAGAGTGAGGACGGGTCTTCATCGTGGCGGAGGGCGGAGCGTTGGGCGCTCGCCGCGCAACACCATGACGGCGCGAGTCATCGACCCCTCGGGGCCGCGCAGGGCGAGGCCGGGCGCCATGATTGACAGCTGCATCGCCCGCACGATTGCCATCACGCCCAGCACCAGCGAGATGGAGCAGCTCACCGCCCACGCCATTTGAGTGCCCTCCTCAACATCGTCCATGTCACGCGCCTTGGAGATGCAAGGTGCAGGTCTCCACACGCCAACAGCCAGCCTAGCAGGAGCTGAGCTATCCACCCGCATCTCATAGTCAGGCGGGAGCCCCACTCGCGCTGTCTACGTGCCAGGCCCGATCCCCGCACCTCGACGATGGCCGAATAGACGAATCCGGCAACGAGCGCGGCCTGCGTGCCGAGGGTGGCGCAGTTCTGCGTGAAGTAGGATAGCTCTTTGTCTTCAATCACGACGAGCGACCGCTTGAGCTGCTCCTGCAGGTCGCACTTGTCTGCGAGCAGCATTGTCCTCCGCCGTTTGGAGCGCTCTCATTTATCGTCAAGTTTGCGAATTCTAGGTAAAATTTGACCACTCTGCGAGGGATTCTTTCTTCGAAGAGCGAAAAAAAGAAAGACCCGCCAGCCACAGCACGCCGCCACCGTCACAGACGTTGTTTTCCTGCGCGGTTTTCGCGGCCGTCCTTTGACGTCCGTCCGGACCGCGCGCGCGTCGGGTGGGCGCCGATTCAATGGAGGCGTTGGCGGGTTCTTTTTGGCGAGCTAGTTTCAAGTTGGCGGAGGCTCGATTGAGTGAAGGGTGAAGCAGCAGACGCTCGGCCGGAGCGCCCACACAGAGATAGGGATTGTGGTGCTAGCCGTTCCCCATGTGATTCTGTTACTGTTTGGATTGCCCCCCCCCAGCCGCGGCCCCGGCCGTCTCCCGTCTGCCTCTCCCTTATCTCGTCGCCAGTCTCTCGCCAATTCAATTCCAATTCTCGCGGTGACCTTCATGCCGAACTCGCGGTCGGTCGTCCCACTCACTCTCGACTCCCTGGCGCGGTCAAAAGTGTCGGTGCGGTTGGCGGCGCTTGCGCTGCTGCCCGTGCACGGCCATTGGGCCGCGTGCGCGCTTCATGTCCGTGTGTGTGCTCCCGAGGAGTAGTGAGTGTGGACAGGCAGGCGTTGCAGGACGTGCGCCGCGCCGCCGCGGGGCTCACGTGCGGACCGCCGTGAAGTGAGTTCTTTGACTAATGTCACACATGTTGGGAGACTGATGGGTCAAAAGCATAGATCGTCAATCGACGCGTCGCGCCTTTGCCGATCCGCATTGTGTGGTTCTTGGGTGGCGCGCCCCAGCTCTTCACTACCCACCAGGTTTTCCTGCGCCCGACAAGTCGATGCGAGCCGCTTGTTTGCGAGCCCTCGGGCCCGCGCTCCCGCGGCAGCCGTTTGCGGCTCTGAGCAGCGCCGCGCGGCGCGGCCGCAAAAAGCTCGACCCGGCCGCTGCTCGCGTGGCGCAGGAGGCGCACTTGCAGGAGGCGCTGCGGCTTGTGCGAGCTTGTGCGGTCCGCGGGTACGACGAGGGCGTCTCGGTGGACGTCCACCTGAACGTCGACGCCAAGCGCACCGAGGAGCGCGTGCGCGGGCAGGTCATGCTGCCGCACGGTCAGGGCAAGACCGTCCGCGTCGCGGTCTTTGCGCGCGGTGCCGACGCCGACGCAGCCCGCGCGGCCGGTGCGGACCTGGTGGGAGCGGAGGAGCTGGTGGCCGAGGTGCTGGCCGGGCGGCTCGACTTTGAACGCGTGCTCGCCACGCCCGACGCGCTGCCCGCCCTCGCCAAGGCTGCGCGCGTGCTCGGCCCCAAGGGGCTGATGCCAAATCCAAAGCGAGGGACAGTGGTGACGGAGGTGGCGGCGGCGGTGCAGCAGGCCAAGGCGGGGCAGGTCGAGTTCCGCGCGCAGAACCAGGGCGTCGTGATGGTCGGGCTGGGCAAGGTCTCCTTCGGCGCCGACCGCCTCGCAGATAACGCGCCCACGGCGGTTGCGGCGGCGGCACGGCCGTAGTGGGGCGTGCTCACACCTTGGGTTGTCAATAGGCGATCGCTGCCCTCGCGGCGGTGCTCGGCGCGCGGCCGGACCGGTTCCGAGGCAAGCCGGTGCACCGCATCACCCTCTCCTCCACCAACGGGCCCGGCATCGACCTCGACCACTTCCTCTGGTAATTAGTAAAAATTAAACAAACACGGACCTCGCGCGGACGCCACATGAGAGATGTGTCTGGCACATGCGACATGGAAAACGGCTAACCGCTTGTCGGTTTGTATATGCCACGAGAGGCATTCGTCTGGCTGTCATTTGCTGCTGCCCGCCACAGCGGGGGAGCAACGAAGGCCGAGAGGACACTTTACGCGGGTGCAGGTGCAGGTGCCCTCTGTCTCCCGCGCCCGCCTTTTGGGTCTCTCACACCTCAACTACAGCGCCTCGGCCCTTGCTGCCCGCCACAGCGGGGGAGCAAGGCCGGGAGGTCACTTTACGCGGTCGGCTTGGCGGCTCGGGCGGTGAGGAGGAGCCCGTCGAGCCAGCGCGGCACCTGCGCGCAGCTCGAACGCCTCAACGACACGGCGGCTGTCTCGCAGCAGGAGAGAGGCGGAGGAGAGAGGCGGAGGAGAGCCAGCGCTGCGCCTCCTGCCGAACCTCCTGGCTCGATCTCGGCTCGATCTCGGCTACGTCGCCGCGCCTCCTGCCGCGCCTCCCGCATCGCCGCCGCCACTCGGCACAGCGCGTCGCCGCTGTCCGCGTCGCCCACGATCGTGGTGACGGATCCGACGTGCCCTCCGCGCCTGCTCACAGCGAGTGCGGCTGTGCGAAAGGCGAGGTCTGATGCGACGGGAGCGCTCCTAGTCGCCCTGTGCGGCTATATCTCGGCTTGTCTCGGCTATATCTCGTCGCCCGGTGCGGCCGACGCGCTGCGCGTACTCGAGCAGCGAAGCTGGCGGCGTGTAGCAGACGACGTGGCTCACCTGCGGGATGCGGACTCGGGTCATGCTACCCACCTCCCACCGGCCGGCGTGCAGGAAAACTGCGGCGCGTTTGGCATCGCCTCCGGACTGGCCGCGTCGAGGGCCTACTGAGTCAGGGACTGTGAGTCCGAATGAGGAGGAGGATGCAGAAGGAGGGGCTGGCCGCGTCGAGGGCCCGCAGCGCCGCGTCGGTGGAGACGAGGATGCGGGTCTTGCCTGCTCGCAGACCGGCACCTCAGCCCGCACGTCTGGTCGTGCGTGTGCGGAGGGCGAGGGGCAGACGGCTCGCCGCTGGCGAAGGAAGAGAGGAGCGCCTCCCGCTCCCGCGGCTTGAGCCGCTCCGCAGACGCGTCCGCCACGGGCAAGCCCTCGTCGCGGAGCCTAGTCGCGGCGGGGCGGAGGCGGTGGAGTGCTGGCTCGCTCGAGCGCGGGGGCAGCGCCCTCGCCGAGCCACCGAAAGGAGAGGAGCTCGCAGTCCTGCCGCTGCCGCGCGACGCAAAGGACGAGGCCGGAGCTGCTCGCCTGCGGACGGTCAACCACCGGCGGGTGGCCTCTCCTCCTCCCTCCCCGCGAGGGTCAACTGGCCGGGGCAGCCCGCCACGATCTGGGCGAACTTGTCCATCCTCCCGCCGTCGACCGCGTAGACGGCGCGCTGCGTCACCAGCCTCGAGGAGAGCGCGCCCTGCTCGGCGTCGGAAGACGCCACGCGGATGGCGGACGCGCGGACGAGGAGGCCTATGTACATCTGTACCTGCTGTACATCTGTGCCTGCTGTACATCTGTGCCTGCTCACACCGCCCGCCCGAGTGCGGGCTTGTGGAGAGTGTCTGCTCGCGAGCTCACAGAGATATGGGGAGAGATGGGCGATTGTGGAGAGGGTCTGCTCACGAGCTCACAAGTAAGAGTGTGCGGCCTGGCGCGAGCAGCGAGCACAAGCCTCGCGTCTCGTGCGACAGCCCCGCCTCGCCTGGAGGAGGGGGGGGGGAACCAGCCGCCCGGATAAGCACTCCCGACGGCTGCTGCTGGCGCGTCTGGGTGCCACCGCAGCTAATCCCGCCCTAGTCCCGCCCTCGCCTCGGCGCGGCAGCGACCCGGCCGCAGACAGGCTCGAGAGGCGCCTGGGGAGGGAAAGAGGCACCCGGTCTTGGCCTCGCGGCGGCAGCAGGCCGGCGCAGAGCAGCGAGAGAGAGCGCGCTTCGAGGCGGGCGGGAAGCCTGTTCACAGCAGGAGGGCGTGTGAGGAGGCCGTGGCAGAGGGGGAGCTGCTCCGACGCGGGGCGGGCCGCCTGGCGTCGCGAGGAGGCGCCGGAGCGGCGACTCGTACCCCAAGTCGGCCACCTGTCCACGGGCTGGGCGGGGGCGGTGAAGAGGCGACCTGCCCGGGGGAACCTCCTCCCGCCCTCCCGCAAGCCACCTGGTCGAGGGCTAGCACCGCGAGGTAGCCGACCTGTTCACAGCGACTACTCGCTGTGAAGAGGCACACCTCCCCCTGCACCTCTCTATCCCGCGGGAGAAGAGCCTCGGCCGCGTCTCGGCCACGCCTCTCGGCCACATCTCTCGGCCGCGCCTCGGCCGCGCCTCGGTCGCACCTCGGCTGCACCTCGGCTGTATCTCGGCTGCATCTCGGCGTCCTCTCGCCTGCGACAGGTCGAGTGACGCCCTCTCCACCAAGTCGAGCAACCGGCCAGGAGAGCCGAGGACGAGGCTGGTGCCTACCCTCATCACACCTCCAAGCTGAGGAAGCAGCTCAGCCGCCCGACCCGGCCCGACGAGGGCGGCTGGCGACCCGCCACGCGCAGCGCGGCAAGCGTCTCCTCCCACTCGGCGGACCCGCCCGCGACCGCGTACCTGCCACGCACACACCACCCAGCCGTGTGAGAGGCGCTCTCTCCCTGCACCAACCACCCGCCTATCCTCTCCACACACCGTACGCCGGAGCCTCGCGTGAGGGAGGCGGCGCACTCCTCCGCCGCGGCGAGGAGCGGACGCGTCGGCGCGATCACGAGCGCGCGAGGCCGACTCAGCGCGCCGCCACCGCCCGCGCTGTCGCCGCTCGAGGCCCCGTTCGCGGTGGGCGAGGCCACAGCGTGAACGGTCTCGTCGGCCATCAGCGGCGAGAGGAGCGGCAGCATCAGCGCGAGCACGTCGTGCGAGCAGCTGTTGACGATGAGGTCGTGGCCGGCGAGGCCGACCGGCACCGCGTGCCGCTGCGTCGGCGTCGGTGGGCCGGCGTTCTGAAGCTTTGCCCGCAGCCGCTCTTCCAGCTGCGGGAGCTCCGACGCGCTCCAGCCCGTGATTGGCACGTTGGTGGGCACGCGCTCCACCAGCGAGTCGGATGTCACCTCGAATACCGGTGCCGCGGACTCCATTGTGATTTCGCCCTCTTCGTGCGAGAAAAGAATTTTAGCAGCGCCCTCGCACAACACTGGGCACGGGACTGGCGCGCACTGTGCGCGCCAGTGTGCGAGAAAAGAATTTCAACAACCCGCGTACCACACCAATGAGCCTGCAAGTGCTCCAAGCCAGCCACGACGCAATACTGCCGTCCTCGCCCGGGGAGTCGGGCACGGGATCGCCGTCGGTGATGGCGACAGAATCGGACAGAGAAGACGAGACGGTGGCGGGGCCGCGGCTGAAAAAGGCTAGGAGGGGAGGTCGGGCCCGGCGCCCGTCGGATGACCATCTCGGAAGGAAGGCGAACAAGAGGAAGAACTCAGAGGAGAGGGGAGCCTCCTCCGGAGTGAGGATGAGGACCTTGCGCGAAGGGGCCCTGAGCGGTGACGTCGTGTGAGAGTGCGTGTCATGTGCATGTCTGGTGTTCATTATAGCTCCGAGTAGAGGGGGCGTTCTGAAGTTATGGGGAAACCCGGAGCGCGGAGCCAACCCTCGGCGGAGACCCGTGTTTACTTTACGGCCCTTGCCCTGCGAACGCGCACCCCCAGGGCTAGGGCTCTCTTGCCCGCAACCCGATGCCAATCATCCGGCCCCCGCTGGGTGCGCTTCTGAGCTCCCCGGCCCTTGGATGTGCGGTTAATGACGACCGCACGCGTGCACTCCAAGTGTTCCAAGGAAGCTGAAATCCCTGTGCATCTGGATAATCAGTGCAGGCTGCAGCGGCCAGCGGCAGCGCGCCATCCGCTCGTGAAATCACATAAAATTCACCGCTGGGGCAGGGCTGTCTCGAACGGGGCCGGAGACGGCGGAGAGGGAGAGGAGACCGTCGAATGACCCCGCTGCCGACCGCCGGCGACCCGGCCTCACGCCTAACCCCCGCCCCCGTCCCTGCCTCTCAGCCTAAAGCTGTCGCCCCCGCCCTACCGGACGGCCTCGCTACCCCGCCGCCTTTGCCTCCGTTTTCGCCCAGGGAGGCAGCTCTCCCTTCCTCTCCCGCTCCCTCACGCGGTTCGTCGAGTCGGTGAGCCACTGCTCTGTCTTCTCGGTGCGCGGCTCCTCCGGCCGCACGTTGAAGCCCGCCTGGCGCCCAGAGCATGAGCCGTCAACGAGAGGGAAGGAGGGAGAGGCGTGGAGGTGAGGGCGGTGTGTGTGTGCGTGTGTGCGTGTGCGTGTGCGTGCGTGCGTGCGTGCGTGCGTGTGTGTGTGTGGGGGGGGGGGGCTGCCTGGTGCCCAAACTTGAGCTGGCCCGGCTTGGAGGCAGTCATCAGAGAGAGCACCTACCACGCGGAGAAGAAGAGGCGTGAGGGCGGCCTCAGCCAGCGGGCCCCTCGCCCCCCTTGAGAGGGGGCTCCTTGAACTTGAACTCGCCCGAGCCCGACTTTGGCAGGATCTCGAGCCGGAGCTGGCAGCCGCAGCCCGCACGCGGCGGCGGCTTCGCGGCGGGCGCCCTGGCGCGCGCGAGCTCGAGCACCTTCGCCTTGAAGACGGAGAACTGGCCGCCCTTGACGAAGGCGTCAACCTCCTCGGCCGGGCATGAGCACTCGCCTGTTCGCGGCGCCGCTGTGAAGAGGCGCACCTCTCGCCTCGCCGGCGAGGTGGTGAGGAGGCGTCGCGCCTTCGCAAGTGACGCGGGCGATGCCCATGTGCTCGTACGAGACGAGGTGGCCGAGCAGGACCTGTTCACAGCGAGAGGTGTGAAGAGACGCTGTTCACAGCTCGTACGAGACGAGGTGGCCGAGCAGGACCGTGAAGCGCTCCCCCCTGCCCAGCCGGTCGACGTCGATGCAGAACTCGGCGTGCTCGCCCGGCGCGGTGCCGATGATGCCCGGCTTCATCTTCGCGTCGGTGCCCTCGACGCGGTACGCAAAGGTCGACGAGTTGAGCATCGCGCGCGTGAGCTCGTCGCCCTTGAGGCAGAGCCCGACCGGCGCCTGGCCCGGCAGGCACCCCTCCGGTGTGGCCGCGGAGAGAGAGAGAGAAGAGAGAGAGAGAGAGAGAGAGAGAGAGAGAAGAGAGAGAGGGGGGGGGGAGAGAGGGAGAGGGAGAGAGAGAAGAGACAGAGAGAGAGAGAGAGAGAGAGAGAGAGAGAGAGAGAGAGAGAGAGAGAGAGAGAGAGAGAGAGAGAGAGAGAGAGAGAGAGAGAGAGAGAGAGAGGTGGAAGGCACGGCCGGCGCGCCTCGACGCTCGGCGACAGCAGCGGCGCCAGCAGCGGGTAGCCGCTCGGGCCCGGCGTGCCAGCAGCAGCCTCGGCGGACACGGCGGCGCACGCGCTCTGCGGCCGCGACCCGGCGCTGCGGCGGGCGGCGACGGCGTCGAGCGCGGCTCGGATCCGGTCGATGACGAGCTGCGCCATGAGGGAGTGCCTGAGGATTGGAGGAGGAGTCGTGCGCAGCGAGGAGTGTGCGACCAAGTGCGCCGCGGGGGGGAGGAGGAGCGCCCCCACGCCGCGGGGTGGTGCCGGTCGTGGAAGAGCTGCTTGAGCGGCCAGCGGGTCGAGTTCGACTTGAGCTCGCTGTAGAGGGCGCCGCGCAGCGAGACGGAGGGCACGCCTGCTCGCAACACCCGGCCGGTGGGGGACGGCCCCGCGCGCCGCCTGCGTAGCTTGGCGCGGTGGCGCTGCCGTAGTAGCCGGCGAGCCGCACGATGGCGTCCTCCGCCTTGGCCTCGTACCTGCCCGCAGTCGTGTCACGCTCGCCCACCGCCACACCGCCCCGCGACTGCGGCGCCTCGCTGGCAGGAGAGGTCTCGCCAGGTCTCAAAACCACATCTCGCGAGCTCTCTGCCCAGCTCTCTGCCCAGCTCTCTCCCAGATCTCACCCAACTCTCTCCCAGATCTCACCCAGCCCTCTCCCAACCCTCGGCCAGATCTCGGCCAGATCTCGGCCAGATCTCGGCCAGATCTCGGCCAGATCTCGGCCAGATCTCGGCTAGGTCTGTCTCACGGGAAGGCGAGGTCGTTCGAGTCTGCCCAAGGGGGCGCCTTGAGGCAGCCGTACCCGTCGCAGCCTGGCGGGGCGGGGCAGGGGGGGCGTGTCGCGGACCGCGTCAGCCGAGGTTGCGTGCGGCGTCGAGGGCGGCACCCGAGAAGAAGATGCGCTGCACGTTTGCCCCCCAGCTGGCGGGGTGGACCATCAGCTCGAGCGTGTTGAGCAGCAGCACCTGCTCGCACAAAAGTGCTCCCACCGCGGGCGGAAGGCGGTGCAGGGTGGCGCTCGTTGCGAGCTGTGAATGGCTCGTTCGCACCGCGGGTGCGCCGGGCAGCTTGAGCAGCTGCCGGAGGAGCCGCTCGAAGGACGCAGCGTCCTGCGCAGGGCGTGAGGAGCTGGCCGGCAGGAGCTGGTGGGGAGAGGGGTGAGGGGGGGGGGGGAGGGGAGAGGCGGAGGTGGGCGCCTCGTCGACGGTGGTGTCGAAGTTGACGGCGTACTCCACCACGACCAGGTCGGGCTTGGGCGGGAGGTGCCTGTCCACAGGAAGGGCCTGTGTGAAGAGGGCAAAGCAGGCGTCGGCCGAGCAGGCGGCCGGCTCGGGGGGGCGGGAGGGGCGCCAGTTGAAGCAATGCTCCATGTAGGCGGGGCCTGTTCCCAGCGCGAGGGTGTGAAGAGACGGCCCGCCCAGCGGCCAGCTCGAGGAGTGGCTAGTGCCCGAGGCGGGGACGGCGCCGCAGTAGTGCTCGTGCACGGCCTGCGGGCGAGATGAGGCGAGATGCGGGCGAGGTGCGGGCGAGGTGCGGGCGAGGTGAGGCGCCGCAGTAGTGCTCGTCTTGCGGGCGAGGGGGGCAGCCACGGTGTGTGGCCGAGGTCAAGCCGAGATCGAGCCGCGGCCCAGGCCGGCGAGCCTGCGGGAAGGAGACGTTGAGCCACTGGTACAGCTTCCAGTGGAAGAGCGAGTGCGACCTACCCCTCAGCGGTGCGGGTCAGAGGCCGCGAGCCGGCCGGCGCCTCTGGCCGCGGGCGACTTTGAGGTGGTGAAGGTGGTGCCGAAGGAGACGGAGCCGCCGAGGATGCCCAGCCTCACGCCCCGCCCGTCGAGCAGCTTCTCGGCCAGGCACTCGAGCCTCGCCGGGTCGCCTGCTCACACCTGAAGCTGTGGAGGCCCGAGCGTCCTCGGCCCCGCCGCTCGAGCCGCGCCGGCTCGCCTGCGACGGCGACGCCGCGAGAGAGCTGTCTCGCGTCGAGCAGCGGCCACCAGTCGCGGTGCACCTCCTTCCACGACTCCTTGTGGCTTACGGGAGGGTGCCGCCACATCCGCCGCAGCCTCGTCACGTCGTCCGCAGCCACGACCGAGCCCGCACCGCCGCCACGCGCCGCCGCCGAGCCGCCGCCGCCAGCTGCTGTGCGTGAGGCCGCCCGGAGGCGAGCCAGCTCCGCCCCGAGCTTGGCCGCCGCCTGCCGCTCCCGCTCCGCCTCGGAGCGCGCCGCCGCCACCGCCGCCGCCGCGCTCGCCGCCTCTGCCGCCGCCGTGCCGCCGCCGCCGCCGTCTGCCACGTACTCGGGCGGGGGCGGCCAGAGCCCGACGCGCGGAGGGAGCGTGACCCGTGTGCCCGCCTTCTCTGCCGACTGCCACTGCTGGCGAAGCAGCAGCAGCACTGCGCCAAGCAGCAGCACAGTGTTGAGCGAGTTCCAGGCAGAAGAGTCGGACCGCGGTCCGCCGGGCTTTGAGCTCCGCCCGCTGGCGGCCATTGTAACTGCTCGCGCGCCAGCGTCGGCTGCGCGGGCCACGCACGCTCTCACCTCAACAGTCACCCCGCCAAAGAATTTCCGACGCGGGCCGGCAAATGATCGCAGTGTGCGTCAGAAGAGTCGTCCTTGCGCGAGGAGAGCTCGATAAACTCGAGGGGCCAAAATATGCCGCGAGGAGGGCAGAGCTGCGCCGAGCAGCGAGAGCAAGGGAGCGGCAGGCGGCGGCGCCGTCTGCAGGACGAGGCAGCGAGCGGAGAGCCTGAGGGAGGGTGTACTGTAGTCACTGTAGAGGATGTAGAGTGTAGAGCGCTGTAGAGCTGTAGAGCGCTGGAGAGCGCTGTAGAGCGCTGTAGAGCTGTAGAGCTCTACATCCGGCGCGGGGGGACAGAGCGATGTATATGTAGAGCGCGATTTTCTAGGCGATTTTGCTGTAGAGTTTGTTGTAGAGGCTCTACAGCCAAAACCCGCCGGGAAGGCAGTGACTCAAAGAGGTCGAGTCGCACTAAATGGGGTGTCTCCCAGCTTACTGGAGCTCTGATGGACGGCCCTGACTATCACTGATACACAGAGAGTCACTCTGACGGCACACAACACCCTTATAACTGCGTCATGACCAGCCTGCCATGCGTCGCCGGTGCCGCATTCGTCGCTGTGCTTCTTTAGCAGGCGGTGGACTGTCGGCTGCGAGGACGGTCGCATTTGCGCGAGGCGAGGCGAGCATTCAGACGCGTTGCATGCGCCATGACTCGCGCCAGCCGCGTGCGGGAGCTCCTGGCTGAGCGTTGAGTCCAGGCGAGTTGCGCTGGCCACGATCGCTACGCCGAGCCGAGCTGACGCGCCGAGGCGCGCCGGCCAGTCGCAGCCGTGAGGCATGCCACAGCAGCAGAGGCACCTCCCACCCATTGGGCGGGCAGACAGAAGGCCAGGGCAGCACTGGCAAGTGCAACGCGCCTCATGCCAGAGAGCGACCGTGCCTCGTTCGCCGCTTATGAATGTAGAGTTTGTTGTGGAGATTTCACGTAGAGCGCCTCTACATCGCTCTACAACGCACCCGCCTCGTCACGCGGCGGATGTAGAGCTCTACAGCTCTACAGCGCTCTACAGCGCTCCAGAGCGCTCTACATCTCTACAGCTCTACAGAGCGCTCTACACTCTACATCCTCTACACCCTCCCTCAGAGGAGAGCGACGCGACAGAGGAAGAAGCGACAAGAGAGAGAACGACGAGAGTGGGACGACCGCGGGGTGGCATGAAGGTTGCAGCGAGAATCGGCGAGAGACTGCGAAGAGAGATAGGACGAGAGGCAGACGCCCAAGGGTTAGGGTGGGCGACGGCTAGCGCACCACACCCCTCTCCTTAAAATCCCTGTGTGGTGGCGGCGTGCCGTCCTCCCATCCCTCCCTTGGGTTGTCCGAGTTCTTTCTTTCTTTTTTCGGCACTGCGCAAAAGAATTTGAACAAACAACTCTCTCTCACTACTCACAGCAGACAGGCTCGACACAGGTGCGGACTGGCGCGTGCTAGCACTATCACAGGCAAACCACCGGAGCCGCCTAAGCGAAAGAAACCAATTGCCCGGTCTGTCCTAACTAACTAAGGGTCGCTGAGTAGACAGACTGGAAGAAGTGCCGAGCGCACATCACAGTGAGAGTCGTGATCTCTTGTTGGTTATCAAAAATCTCTCTCTCAGACTGGACGACGCCAACGCAGAGGGCGCCTACGGCCCGCACCGCCGGTCGGTCGGTGGCGTGAGGGCACGGAGCCCGCCCCAAGCTCAATTGCAAGACGAAGCCAGCCCTCTGAGCACTTGAGCACTGGATAGGGTCGATTCCGCATGGTACGGGACCCCTCGATCGTCTCGCTCGCCCTCCCTCACTGGTGTGTTCATTGGGTGGGGTCATAACAAACACGGTACAGGATCCGAGGTGCACGCTGCTGAAGCAGTATCGTCCCCCCTCTCCCCGACGGCGATGGCGGTGTGACCGATCGAGCTACAAGAGGAGCTTGTTCAGCAGGATCCAGGTTAGTCTGGCGCACTACCTCACTGGGGTCAACACGGCGACGAGAGGCGCGGGTGCGAAAGAGGCACGGGGTGGAAGAGGCGCGGCCCTAGCTATCCCATCGCAGAGGTGCGCGTTTGCCTTTCTCCGCCCACCTCCGACGAGTGAACGGAATGTGCCACCCTGAGACGGATCGTGTGTTTCTTCCGCGCCGGCCGCCCAGTGCTCGAACTTTACCGGTATGAGACCGGTATTTGGTGATATTTTGATTAACTTTGAAGTGGTATGGTATAGTGGTATGCGAAAGTGGTATGCGGAGTGTTGATTAGTGTAGCGGCTGTGGGTGTGGTCCCAGGAGGCGAAGCCATGCAAAAGTGCGGGTATTACCCGGGTATACCTGGGTTTTTGCAGGTATACCCGCAAAATACCGGGTATTTTGCCGATTTCGCCGATTTAGCTACAAAAATGCACTCGGACTCGCTTTGGTTTCCGTGAGGCAGGTGGTATCCCATACCACTTTTTGATTAGTGCAGGCCTAGGGTTTGATTAGCCAAAAACTCCCATACCGGTAAAGTTCGAGCACTGCGGCCGCCCCCCCCCACCCGGACTCCTCCTCCTCCTCCGTCGCTGTCTACATCTTTCGACGGCATGCGCCGCCTCGCAGGGCGCGTCCAGAGCAGCTCGGGCGGCGCTGCTGCGGCGGGGGCGGATGGCGCGGTCGCCGCGCCGCTCATCGGTGAGCCGGCGCTCCCGCGCGGCGCTCCGGCGGCCGGCGGCGTGTTTCGCCGCTGCGGAGGGCGTTGTCGTCGCGAGGGGCGGGCCCACGGCGGCGGAGGCGCTGCGCTGACGGCCGCTGACGGCGGCGGTGAGGGCCCAAGCGCCGGCCGAAGAAGCATTGCCGCGATTGCCGTGGCGTGCCGCCTGGCGGGCCCGGCGAGCGGTCCCCGCCGGTCGGGGCTGCCAGCGCTGCACGGTGCAGGTCGCCAAACTTCCCGCCCCCCGCCACCTCTCGCCCCTCCCCCAGCCCTCTCCCTCGGCCCCGCCTCTCGCCCCGCCGGGGATTTTCCCCAGGCGCTTTTTCGGCCACCCGCCAGCCATCCCCGGCCCCGCCAATTTGGCCCTAGGGCACAGGCACCGGCAAGGGTCCCTGCCGCAGACTGGCGGGGCGACAAGGCGATCGAGGCCGAGCATATGCGCTGGAGGCGACGGCCTCGATTTGCGCGCGATCGGCGCCTCGCTCCTCTCGGCTCGGCAACGATACGCGGCGCGCCAGCGTCGGCCCGTTCAAGGCTGCCCCGCACACACCCCCCTCTCGCCGTCGCCTCCTCCCTCCTTCCCCCACCCTCCCCCTCCGCCCCCCTCCCCCTCTCCCGCGGGGCGCGGCGCCCCCCCTCGTCCCGCAGCCCTCGCGCCCCTCTCCTCTCCGCGCGGTCACCGTCACCGCCACCGTCACCGTCACCGTCTCACCGTTTCGCCTCTCCCCCTGCCCCTCTCGCCGCAGGCCGCTGCACGGCGCTCGCCAGCGGCGCCGCGACGCGAGCGCTCTCGCCCCTCCCCCCCCCACCACCGCTAGGGCCGACGGACGCCCCGCGCCTGCGTCCACCCCCCGCCGCCATGAGCCGAGGCTCATGGCGGCGCCTCGAGAGAGCCGCCGCGCGGCGCGGTCGCCGGTCCGGCGCAGAGGGCCGGGCGCCGGTCTCCGGAGCCGGGGGGGCCGTCCGTGGGGCGAGGAGGGCGGAGGGGCGCG